ATTATACTAAAGTTTAAACGATGTATTCATGTATACATAACAGCAAAGGTAAACTGTAGTTTGAAACAAATGACATATATATTGTGGAGAAGCTAGTAAATAAAAAGTGCATTTAATATCAAATGGCCTCATTGTAAAGCCTAAATATATTTCCTGGAACAATTAACACCCCCTTCAAATTTAACATCAGTGGATTATTTCAGTATTCCATATGATGAACTGGACTTGTGAAAAGTACTATTGAATTTCCAGTGACAGCACAACCTGGTGTTTTTTTGGGGGGGGTGGGGGTGGGGGGGTGGGGGGACAAAAACAAAGGTTTGAATGAGAATACAATGCCTAGACATTCACAAAACTTACACTGCGGATGTCCTGTGAAAGTCAACAATGTCAAGTGTGTGAATGGGCCCAAAGGTACATTGTGTGTATACCTTCAAGTTGCCTGTTGGATTATGGTGACCCCATGAATTTCACAGGGTCTTATCAGGCAAGAAATACTCAGAGGTGATTTTGCCAGTTCCTTCCTCTGAAGTAATTCAGAGCCCAGTGGCGCAGTGGTTAAATGCCTGTACTGCAGCCACTCACTCATAAACCACAAGGTTGCGAGTTCAATACCAGCCAGGGCTCAAGCTTGACTCAGGCCTGTATCCTTCTGAGGTCATTAAAATGAGTACCCAGATTGTTGGGGGGCAATCAGCTCACAGTTGTAAGCCACTCACAGTTGTAAGCCGCTTAGACATCCCATGCGTGATATGAAGCGGTATATAAATGAAGCTGCTTTGCTTTGCTTTTGCTTTACAACACCTGGTACTTGTTGACAGTCTCTTGTCCAAATACTAACTGGGGCTGATCCCACTGAATTTCCAGGATCAGACAGGATTTGGTGCCTTTGGAGTTATTAGGCACATTGTTAAGTGCACCTCTCTACATTTTCCCATGTATTTCAAGAGTGTCAAACCAATAATGACTATTTCAGCTTTTTTTTTTTTTTTTAAGAAGGGCAGGGATAACTGAAAATAGGGTGACCATACATCCTGCTTTACAGAGGACAGTCCTTTGTTGAAATCAGAAAACAGTCTGAAAGAATCCTCAGATGCATTTCGCAGATATAAACCCAAACCAAACAATATCAGAATACAGTCAAGATGGTAATGTGTGTTTTTTTTTTTAATGAGGCAAAATGTACAAGCTAGGAGAGGCTGCAGTACTTTACATTTGCCAAAGTCAACTGGGAAGGAAAGATTCTGCTTCCTACTCTCCTCTCCTCTCCTCTTGTTGAGTTGAATACAAACTACCTGTGCTCTTTGAACATAGCTTGTAGCAATTAAAATATGTTGAGCACACAAGGCAAATGTAGGTGAAAGAGAGAGAAAGTGGGACTTTTAAAAAGCAGTTGAAACAGTGAGGCAGCAAGAGATTAAATGGGACTGTCACTGCCAAAATCAGGATAGTTGCAGCATTTTCAAGCATGAATTGCATTATTCACTAGAACAGGCTCATTGAATCAATAGAATTTACCTGTGTTGACTCCTTGACAATTGATTTAATGGGCCTACTCTTGGTGGAACTAACTAAAAGGATTAAGGCCACCAGAGAGAGAGAGAAGTGCTTTTAACTCTTGTTCACTTTCAAAAATATAGCATAGAGAGCACTCCCTTCTTTCCAAAAGACTGTTTTGGCTCATACCAAAAACTCTAGCTGCAGGCCTGCTGAAAATACATAAATAGTACTGGCTTAGGCCAAAGAATATAATTTATCAGTACGCTGATGACACTCAAATCTATTTCTCCATGTCTCGTTCATTGGTCTCGAATTCCAATGGCATCTCTCCTCTCAATGAATGTCTTCAGGCGGTAATGGGCTGGATGAGGAAAAACAGATTGAAACTGAATCCAGACAAGACGGAGGTGCTCATTGGGTTGCAACCTCCAGTCCTGGATGGGGTCACACTCTCCTCCAGTGACTGTGTTCACAGTCTGGGGGTGCTCCTTGATTCATCGCTCCTGATGGCAAATCAGGTTAATGTGATGGTCAGGAGCGCTTGTTATCAGCTTCGGCTGATACGCCAGCTGCGCCATTTTCTGGAAGTAAGGGATCTCGAGACCGTTGTGCACACACTGGTAACCTTCCACCTTAACTTCTGTAATGCGCTCTACATGGGGCTACCCTTGTGCTTGGTTCGG